GTTTCTTCCGTTTGGTGATGGCCCTCGAATATGCATTGGTAAAGAAACTTGATACCGAGTAGTTTTGTTAATGTCAGTGTTCTCCAACTCAAATTCCTTACGGGCCAAATATTTTTTCAAAAAAAGTTTGAGGGCTAAATTTTAAGTGTCCTCTCTTTTATTTATACACTAAAAACTGAAGATAAAATGAAGGCGTAGATGCGTACAAAATCTATTTATTTAAAATATTGTAAATGACTTAATATGCTATGAAATAACTTTTATTTTAATTACTATTACCAGAATTATTTACAAAAATATAAACAAAGTAGTTGTTTATTTCACTTATTATTACTCCAAAATTATCATTGAAAAAAATGTGATGAACCTTAACGTTAAAAATATAAGAAAATCTTGATTTTTTGTTTATTTTTATTTATGAGCTACACTTGTAACTTGACATATTTTCTTTTGTACCAAGCTGTCTATATTTGCACAAGAATTTCTTGATGCCAAATGTAAAACAGATTGTCAAACATGGATAAAATGTTAGAAAAGTGTTAACTAACTGGGGGGTATTGGTAATATCGGTACTTTCATTAACAGCAATGGAAAAAGTTAAAAATCGTTTATTTCTTCCATGCAATTGTTGTTTAACATTGTTAGCCATTTCATTAATTCTCTGAGTATTTCCATTTAAACTTATATTCATAAATGCTTGTTTCTTTTTGGGACATATTACATCCACTGCACTAACTATATATTTTTTAATAAATTCCCAATCAGTAAAAGGTTTTGACGCACGTAAGATTTTTTCTAATATAACGTAACTACATTTAACAGAATCAATATTTTCTTTTCTTATAATATAAAACAATTTTTTTTGATGCGAGAGTTTTTTTTTCTAATTCTTCAAATTTTTCTTGGCGTAATTTTCCTACAAATTTATCGTAAATCTTACCATGATTTGCGTCATAATGTCTTTTAATGTTATACTCCTTCATGACAGATCCACTTTGTTTACAAATCAAACATATTGGAAGAGAATAAGAATTAGTATAAAAGTATGTATGGCCCCGTTTTTCTTGAAAAGCCCGTCTTTCTTGGTCAATTTTACGTTTCGTTGGTTTGATATGAGACATTTAAACGAACAAATTACGCGTATAAACTTAAATTTAAAATTACACTTGAATAGTAACTAGTTACTGGTACGAACAAAACAACACTGGTCACAGTCAAACTGTTACCCACTATTACTGCACTTACGCCGAAATACAAATTATATTTATCTTTGTAGATTAGATTTACCGTATTTTAAATACTTTAACGAGTACAATGGGATTTATGAACGATTAATATAAAAATAAAACATTATGGACGGATCAGATAATATACTATGTATTTAAATGCCTAAAATAAAATTAACGTTTTTCTAATTTTTTCGTATATTTTTGTTATGTTTGATACCATTGGTTTATTTGTACTGTACACATAAAAAATAATATTAATCTTAAATATTAATTGTCATTTATATAACATTGATACAGGTATGCGATTCGCCTTGATGGAAGTCAAAATAGGACTAGCGGAAATCATATCGAAATTCGAAGTAAGACCATGCAAGAATACACAATTTCCGATCAAAATAAGGCCGAGATCAATTTTACTCACACCTAAGGATCCGATCCTTTTAACGCTCAAAAGAATTGAATGATTATTTGTATTTAAGTACTCATATACCTAATAGTACTTACCATGTTTTTGCTAAACAATTGAAAATCAATTTAATTCATTTAGATCAGTTTAAAGTGAATATAATAAATTATCGGACTAACTGTATAATACGAAATCGAAATATTATTAAATAAGATCAGATATTAATTCTGAACTCTACATTTCCATCACCTATAGATAGTTATGTAGAGCTACTTATACTAAACAGTAAGAGGCAAAGATAATTAAAAATGTATCTAGATAAAGATAAAGATAAATCACTATTTATCTACATTCTAGTTATGAAAAAAATATAGACAATTTTAAATTTTAATAACTTACCTATTTATATGGTTTTCATTAATTAAGTTATATTTTAAAAATATAAATAAATAAATAGTAATCGTATGCATTTATTTGATTTTTATAATTATGTTTATAGCTTAGGTGTTTAAAATCAAGACTCGACAGAAATAAAAACCGTCGAGTTTCATTGTCGGATTTCGTCCACACACTTCCGTTTTGTGTTTCATCGTAGTGTATGGGAAGCTTAAGACTGGACTAAAACGTCAATTATTATCTGACGGTGGGTAGTGGTCACGGTTGTGACTGGTAAGGCGAGTAATAGGTCACAAATATGTTTTTGTAGTTACTATTTTTGGAATAGTCTAAACTAAACATTGGACGTTTTCAAAGCTATCGTGTAATTGTGTGCAGTACTATCATATAAAATTATAAATGAAAACAATATAAATGTGTAACTTCGACTTATTTATGTGATAGAGTTAATAGAAAAGCGCGGACTAAGTTATAAAGGTAAAACAAATGAGGCTGCTTATTCACTCGATGATTCTTCCTTAGACCGTGGGAATTTTTTGGAAGTAACTTTACTTATTATTAAAAATGATTCCTTGCTTAAATTCCATTTAGATAAAAATGCAGAAAAAAGTTTAAAATGTTATAATAGAAGGGCCCAACAAAGAGGAGATCTAGTTACTTTTTTACCAAAAACTACAATCAATTATATTCTTGAAATAATTACTCAAAAATATAAAATTTACCATTTCTAATAAAGTAAAAGATGCTGTAATATATTCTGTACAACTCGTATAGCAACTATTTAATTTATATATGTAATCAACGATAAACCATTACTGACGAAGTATGATTATAAACGAAGTTTGAGTATACATATTTGAAATGCCATAATATTTATAATTTTTGTCAAATATGATCTTTAAACGCATATGAACGAATTGTTACATTATTTTCAACTTTTTTTTTTTGTGACCATTAAGTAAACAATGAATTATATCTTTTAATGAACCTAAAATTCAATTTTCAAACAATTCCGTCAAAATTTGAGCTCTTAATAGTTTTTAACCTATTAACAACAAAAAACCAAAAATTTAAATGTACGAATATTTCATCAACTCATATGAGGTTCCCTCCGAATCATTGTTTTCTTTAAATATAAATATTTTCTATAAAGGGTATTTTTACTCTAAAACCAGTTTTTATCAGCCGTTTCGTCTGTTTTGCGTAGACGGGTTTTTTATGTTGAAAACGACCGGTGTGGAATCCACTTAATGTCTTAAACTTTCCCGTATTTCTTATGTGTTTTCCTGTTTTCTGAATTATTATAAATACCGCCTGGAAAATTAAAAAATTACTCACTTTCTCACTTATTAGTTACAAAATACAAAAAAATGTTCCTTTTCAATTTGTATAAAAAGCAAGATTACTGGTAAAAAATTAAAAATAATGTAATTAACGGTGTCGAGACGTACCATAGATAATTATTCGTTTTTCCCATAGGTTTTCTCAATTATTATTAAAACTCATTAGTAAATCAAAGATTTTTATATTCGTTGAACCAGTTAATTAGGCCCGGATTAAATGTAAGTGGGCTGGGAAGTTACGTCCCAGGGGTCCACGTATGTAAAGGGCTCATATAATTCTCGGCTAAAAATTACACCGAGTGGTAATTTGTACTTTTTATAGTGCACAAGTATGTTTTTATTTTTATTTTTTTCTTGTTTGAACTTACAAGCCTGCCCTAAGAACATGCTTACCATGTTTACCACCACGGGCATGGTAAGTGAGGACACGTGACATGTTTGTGTGAGTATGAGACTATTGTAGGTACTCAGAACTCAGATACCTACAACAGCCTGCAGTTTACAGTCTACACTCTACACTGCATTATTAGTTCTTGCTAATTGTACCGCAGAGAGAGCATTTTGAAAGTTGCCCGAAATTAAAAATAAAAATAGATCTTCACAAACTAAAGAAAATCTTCATAATGATATTGTGTACAGAATTTTAGTTTTGATAAAACCTTAGAAGCATTTGCTACACAAAAAGCAAAAAAAAAAGACTTCAACAAAAAATACGTACTTACATTTATTTGTAGATATATGTATTATAATAAAAAATAATGTGTTTTTAATATTTTTATTATACTTAATTTAAAAGGTTTAAATATGTTTTATTAAACATTTTGATTATTTTAAAAGTTGTTTTCGATGGTGGGGGCCCACAACTGTGTATTGACCTCTGGATCCCTGAAGGTCTAAGTCCGGGATTGCCGCTACGTCCAAAATGAAAAAGAGGTTTTTTTATATTTTTGATTAGAGCAACATTTTTGGTAAAAGAATTGTTTACAGAGAGAGAAAAATGATACCAAATGCACACATCATGATATAGTAAAACTAATATATTTTTCGCTATATTTAGAATTTTGAAATGTTTATCGCAAAAAAAAAGTCTTGTACAAGAAACGACAAAGGAAACGACGATTACATAATTTTTTAAATACGACATAACCTTTTTAATTGTTTTTAAAGACCGTATTGAGTAATTTACCTACCACAAAGAATTAATATTGCACCGTTGACTATACGTGTTACGACGTTTATAGTATTCATTTTACTACTTTTACTACATTGTGTATTGTTCGAACATTGTTCGTGTAATAATACCGTGATTATTTTTTTCATGATGACGGCGATATTATAATACAGTGCTTTCATCATCAACACTGTGTATTGCTCCATTCCCATCAATCGAATGGTACAAATATTGATATACCTATACCTGTATAGATTATTACAAAAGATCTAGCGTACGCGAACTTTTGACTTTCACGTCCGAGTACCACTGTCACGAGAACCCTATAAAAACGGTCGTGGGCAGTCCAATAGGTAGTCGACATTTCACGCTCGTCGCTATTTCCTCGGAGTGTGGTCGAATCGGCAATAATTTACGTTAGTGTCGGGGCCGTCGCGATTACTATACAACAATAATATTCTATAATTATAATGGTCGTCGAGTGGAGTGCGGCGTCCTGGCCAGCAGCGGTTATCCAGGTGTCCGTGGCCGTCGCGGCCGTCACTGTTCTGCTGGGCTACGCGTACTCGACGTACNTAGATGCACACATTCCGTTTCTAACTCTGTTTAATTAACGTCATCGTAATAGTTTTTGGCAAGTTCTTTGCAACATTATCACAAGGCTGTAGAATTCAGATTTTTCAAACCGGTGTACCCTGCATCTGTTTGTTTATAAATATTTATATATGTATTATGTGTGCGTGTACCGTGCGGTCGGTCAATCGACCTGTGTCGACTGTCGATTGTATTATTATTATTATTATTATTATTATTGTTATTATTATTAGTGCTTATCCTTTGATTTTTCTCGAAATGAGTTTATTTATTGGTAATGAATATCGATTATCGGTTAGTGATCTGAGAAGAGCTTGGATCCTTATCGATCGCGGCGCAAAGGGCACGTGCCTCAAGTGCTCAATGGGAAAGATGTGCCTATAAATGGTGAATATTAAATATAAAAAATAATATAGGATTATAACAAGTTAGCTAATACATAAGAATAATTTTTAGTAAATTGACTATTGATTATAGGTATTTAAATTAAGTTTAACAAAAATTACAAATTATCAATAGTCTTTGATTTCTCTTGATTCTTTTGGCGGAAAAACCATTTATAATATCGTCATAATCTAATTTTGTGGCTACTTGATTTTCAATTAAAATAATTGAATGTTGGGTTGTGTCTGTCTTGATTTGATAAAAATCGATGATAGGGTTTGATTAATTCTAACTTATTAAAACTTCGTTCGCAAGATTCTAAAGTCACGGGTAAAGTTAGAAATATTTGACATGTTGTTGAAATATTTGGATAGGTATGTTATAGTTTAATATTTTTATGAACACAATTTAGGATTTAAAACAATTTTTATATCTTATTACTAGGTCCCGGATTTATATGCATTCTCAAGTTTTTTAGACAATCTAAAAAGTAGCTAGATAAGCTACAAGTTTGAATTATAGTCAATAGAATTTACCATTTTAGATTTTGAGCGTAACGAAGAATGTATTGGTTTTATTTCATTACTAAGATGTTTTTTTTCCTTTTATTTTATACAATGTATTTAAAGTAACTATAACACGTTTATAAAAAACCATTACATTAAATAAATAATTTTGATATTCCCAGGACTATGACTGCGAAGACGCCGTCTAAAATTTTCCATGACGCACCGCCCCTGTACTGTCTATGTAGTTAATTGTATATAATCATCATAATATAATGTTACCCACATGATAAATTAAATAGGTATGACGGCAAAAATTCTATACTCATTGTGTTTGCGCATAATCCTTCCCCCGACTTTCCTCCGTCTACATTGGTGACGTAAGCTTTTAGACTCATCCTATTGGTTGTAATCTTTACATTATCGTGTAATACCTATAATAAAGGCTATTAACCACGTCATTTGTCTCTCAAAGGTAATTGGGAGACAAATTAATATTTAATTTAAATTTCCAATTTATTAATTATATTATTTTATTATTTATTTATTGTTATTTAATGATACTGCTGAACATTAAAAATTAAAAAAAAGAAATAAAAATAAACTAAACAAATTTACATCTTAAAGCTATGTTTATGTTTATTATTTTTATCTGTCTACCTATTCATTACGAATCATGGCGAATAAACATAGGTAATTAATTAATTAATAAATACGGATAATTGCCTGCATTTGTTTATTTATACAATATATATACACATATATTATATTAACTGAAATGCCTGTGTGCGTATTTAGATTGTTATAGGAGTAAAAAGTATTGTTATATAGTAAGTATTCTTTTAGTTAGTAGTTATAGGAGTGAAAAAGAAGTAGTTGAAAGACTTTTTTACATTGAGCAACTTTCAAAACACTTCCCAAAGCAGAAACGTAAATTAAAATTATACTAATCATAGGCATTTATTGCAAATCACAATGAATTTCATTATATTTCGTATTATGATAACAGTAAAGAAAAAGCCTAGGTCACAGGAAGCGTATCACAAAGTTGCTCACGTACCCAGTTAATTTATCATGATTACCCATTTATTGATGGATGTATTTATAGTTAAGGGCCCGTATTACAGTAGTGGTACAAACTCGATTTGGAGTTTAAACCTAGATCAAAGGAAAAAGACCGTATTACAATTGACTAACCGTCATTCAGATCGAAGTTAAATCACTGATTGTTAAACCACCGATTTCGGTGAGTTAAAGTTGGTTCAAAGATGAACTGTAGTTTGATTGGTTGTTCATTAATGTTGATAACTAACATGGTATTATGGTTATCAATAAAATTAAAAAACAAACATAAAATTATTATTGTTGATTCAACTACCTTTTTTTATACTTCATCACCAGTCATATAGCTTTCAACAGACATTGCAATAAATTCAAAATAGGTAACAAAGTATGCGAATTAGAAAAATAACGAACATCAGATCGAATGATCCACTATCTCCATAGAACACCACTATCACCTAACATTTTTCATTATTAGTATAGTATATTTCATTAATATAGTAGATCTTTATCGTATCAACAATAAATTAACGCAATCTATTCTAATAATATCATTTTGTTTTTCACGTAATCTTTCCTCAATGTTTTGATGGACAGCTGTGCGTGCAGGGGAACGGTCGGGTGACAGTTTCTTTGAACCGGTGATCGTAATAATATCAAAATTACCATAAAAATAATTATTTATATATTATGTAGTACCCCCTACAATAATGATGAAGAACACGAATTCTTATCTTTCATACACTATTATTATAAAGGATTTATATTATTAAATATAATTAAAAAAGTTTCGAGCAGCGAGGCCCTCATAAAAACGCGTATCCGCGAGCCAAGGACCCTGCTCGTCCCCATTCGTCGAGCCGGCATTGATTTTACTGTATTTTCTATGTACACATAATAAAGGAGTAAATTACCTATTTATACACATGCATGAAAACAGTTATAAACACACGTATTATTTGTTTAATGGTTGTTTAGAAGTCGATTATTTCTGTATAAGTACTGCATTTTGTAGATGAGTATGACAAGTGAACTGTCACTTAAATAAATTTAAATAAACAATTTCATGCGTTATTACTTTTTATCTTAACATTACGAACATTAACACATAAATAAATTGAACAATAAGAACTATAATTGGGCAACGCAATTAATTTATGTTACATTTTTTTTTACTAATTATATAATGAATAAAAACTGTTAATATGTACAATATATAATAAATAATCGCTTTTAAGCGGAACAAATTATGTTCATAACAAGTGTATAAATGTATAATAAGGTTTACTATAAACATTTTTTTTTTTTTTGCAATTTATGCTACAAGCTCAATCCATATAGTATTAGAACCCTCTGATTATAAAAATTGAGATTTAAAACGTCGAATTTGCAGAATACAGAACTTCGATATTTTGTACCCAATTATGTGCACCTAAAATCTGAAATAACTAAATTAGAAACGACCTCGAAACTGGTTTCAGTAATAGCTATTTTCAATCGCGTGCACTTGATTGATGTTATTAAATATTACATTTAATTTGTACAATTTATATACTTAATATAAGTAATGTTTTGAAATATCACCCAGAAGCAAAAAAAAAAAATTTAATTATATGAACAACCTTGAATTTGTTCAAGTGTTTACGATAAAAATACACTACATGTCTAAAAAAATATTTGCATACCTATTATTAGTATTATTATTTCTTTGTGTGAATATTATGATAGTATACATAATGTAATATGTATAATGTTTATAAAGTCTACATAAGTAGAATACCTAAGGTCTTAAATGGTGACATATTTTATATACTGGTATTATTAAGTAGGTAAATATAATTTTTAGATATTTTTACAAAAGTACCTTAGTTAATTTGGACCCAGTTATTTTTGTGATTGTAATACCGACAGTGAGTTAACTTAGGGTTCAGCTGATAACTGAGGTTTAGTTAAATTAGTAAACCGATAATTATAATACGGACTCTAACTAGAACTAAAACTAGTAATTAGTAAAATAATAAAATAATAAATTTTTAAACAAGTGAAATTCGAAAATTATAATTTAGTATAGTTATTTCGTTTTGTTTAGAATCAAAGATAAAGATTATTTTCTTAAACGTGTTCGATAAAAGTAACTATAATTTTCGTTGCTACACGAAAGCAAGAAAAAATATTTTTACATAAAATACGTACTTACTATTATTTGTAAATATATGTATTAAAAAAAAAAAATTATGTGATTTTAATATTTTTTTTATACTTAATTTAAAAAGTTTAAATATGTTTAAATAAACATTTTGATTATTTTAAAAGTTCTTTTCGATGGTGGGGGCCCACAACTGTGTATTGACTTCTGGATCCCTGAAGGTCTAAGTCCGGGATTGCCGCTACGTCCAAAATGAAAAAAAGGTTTTTTTATATTTTTGATTAGAACAACATTTCTGGTAGAAGAATTGTTTACAGAGAGATAAAAATGATACCAAATGCACACATCATAATATAGTAAAACTAATATATTTTTCGCTATATTTAGAATTTTGAAATGTTTATCGCAAAAAAAAAAGTCTTGTACAAGAAACGACAAAGGAAACGACGATTACATAATTTTTTAAATACGACATAACCTTTTAATTGTTTTTAAAGACCGTATTGAGTAATTAACCTACCACAAAGGATTAATATTGCACCGTTGACTATACGTGTTATGACGTTTATAGTATTCATTTTACTACTTTTACTACATTGTGTATTGTTCGAACATTGTTCGTGTAATAATACCGTGATTATTTTTTTCATGATGACGGCGATATTATAATACAGTGCTTTCATCATCAACACTGTGTATTGCTCCATTCCCATCAATCGAATGGTACAAATATTGATATACCTATACCTGTATAGATTATTACAAAAGATCTAGAGTACGCGAACTTTTGACTTTCACGTCCGAGTACCATCGCCGCGTAAACCCTATAAAGACGGTCGTGTGCAGCCCAGTGTGTAGTCGACATTTTACGCTCATCGCTATTCTCTCGGCTTGTGATCCAATCCGCAATAATTTCCGTTCGTGTCGGGGTCGTCTTGATTACTATACTATAATAATATTATATAACTATAATGGCCATAGAATGGAGTGCTGCTTACTGNGTAGGTAAATATAATTTTTAGATATTTTTACAAAAGTACCTTAGTTAATTTGGACCCAGTTATTTTTGTGATTGTAATACCGACAGTGAGTTAACTTAGGGTTCAGCTGATAACTGAGGTTTAGTTAAATTAGTAAACCGATAATTATAATACGGACTCTAACTAGAACTAAAACTAGTAATTAGTAAAATAATAAAATAATAAATTTTTAAACAAGTGAAATTCGAAAATTATAATTTAGTATAGTTATTTCGTTTTGTTTAGAATCAAAGATAAAGATTATTTTCTTAAACGTGTTCGATAAAAGTAACTATAATTTTCGTTTTTCAGGAGTTGTTGATGTGAGTGAAGCGTCGGCTCAATTCACAACCGACACTATTGGCCGTTGTGCTTTTGGAATGGACTGCAATACATTATCGAATCCAGATTCAGAATTTCGACGCGCCGGACGAGATATTTTTATACCAACACGTAGATCAGCAATATTAAATTTCATCAGACTAGTTGATTTCGGTTGGCTTCTCGATGTATTTAGGGTGCGTGGAATGCCCGATCATATTTATCAATTCTTCGATAATGTACTTGAAACTACTATGGAACAACATAAAACTGGACAACATAATCGTAACGATTTTATTTCACTTTTGGTGAAATTAAAAAACGAAGACCATGTAAACAAGGACGGAACAAGTAAATATCTCATAGATCGGAATTTTAAAATTTGTACACAATTCAGATAAATTTTAATCAATGACAATTAGATAAAAATGTAGATATAATTATTGTTCTCGAACCTAAAATTGTGTATTAATTAATTAAACGAACATAGTTTTAGTTTAGCATTATAGATATTCGTTTGATTTTATTTTTTTTTTTCAAAATATGTGTGTAATTTGCGTGTATCTTAAAAATGTAAAAAAGCCGGACAAACTTCATTTAGAGGAAAACTTCAAAAATGTTCGTTTTGAATTGATACACATCTATGAAATACTAGGCAATTTTGGACTACTCCGTCACCGCCTCCTTTACAAGCATCATTTTATTAGAATTGAGTAATAAAAAAAGATTAATAATGTTTATTTAATCTATAAGTATAATCAGAAGTCCCTACTATGCTTATTTTAAAAGATTTTTTTCATAAAGTAAGCTTAATAAATGTCGAACATTCGAATCATTGAGCGGAGCCGATATCGTAATCAGCTGTCCCCAGATTTCACATCCCTGTATCTTCTTTAATAATGATTTTTAAAAAACTTCTGATTGTACCAATGGTTAAAGCAATAAAAATTACAAATTTCGGAGAAAAAAAATATTTGGAAATATTAAATTTTAACTAAGAAATATGCGTAACGGAAATCGAATTTTTTTAAAGTTTTCTTCCGGTAATTTCAACCAAAGTTCGTCCATTTTTTTTAAACTTTTTAATATACACATAAAACACACTTTTTGAAGAAAAAAATTTACACAAAACTAGAATATCGTTTCGTTGAATCTATTGAATTATATCCCATATGTATCATATGATAGATATGATATGTATAGTAATTGAATAGTAAAATTAAGTTTTTGATACCAAGAGAGAAGGGATTAATGTAATCGTTGCCTTTTTTTTATTTTTTTATACATTTCTTATATTTTTTTTTGGATTCTGAGTGTAGCGAAATATGTATTGGTTTTACTAGGATGTTTGATTTTTCTTTTATTTTTATACTTTTATCATGTGTACAAAAATTCGACCAGAAATCTCGCCGAGATTTATACAGGTGGCATCAGTTCTGAAAGGTAATGTTGTTCAGATATTGCTTTTGGAAGATCATATTTTTATTTCCAAGTGGTTTTCATAATACCTGGGAAAAACCAGGGTAAAACGTGAGAAAAACGAAAAATTTACGAAATTAAAACTATTATTTTTCAATGTTGTTATTTGTTCTAATTAAATTAAAAATATTCGTAAATAATCGAAATTCAATAATAGAAAACTTATATATGCTTTTTTTAGACATGGTAAAAATTTCAAAAATTTAAGCCATTTTTTAGCTATTTATAGACCTTTTAATTTTGCTAGTTTTGTACTTATTTATTTTTTTGGAGATATTCTATAGAAAAATTGTANATCTGTTTCATTATGAAGTGATTTCTCTTAATTACATAATTCTTCATAAGAAAAAATTTAATTCTAATACAAACCTAAATTAAAAATTGTTGCTTGACTTAAACGTTTTACGATAAATTATTTTCAACACAGATATCCAAAGTCATTTTAGAAAAATCTGAAAAATTGAGATAATAGAGATAACATTTACAATGTGTTGAGCCTAAATATATAGGGCCGTCTTTAACCTTTTTGAGGCTCGGGGCAGTGATATATTGAGGTCCCTACGACTTGGAAAGAGTATTATTTTATTAAACCAAGTAAATAGGGTGGTGGTAGATAAGAAAACTATTTTGTACTTTTGAAAAAAGTATAAATAAATAATCGCTTTCCAGCGAAAAAAATTCGATAATTATTATAATGATAGGTACCTATTAAATAATATGTTCATAACAAACGTATAAATGTATAATAACGTATAGTATTAACATTTTTTCTACAATCTATGCTGCATGCACAATCCATCCAGTTATAGAACCCTCTAATTATAATAATTTCGATTGAAAACAACGAATTTGGGGAAAATCTGATTTCGATATTTTGTACCTAATTATGTGCCCTAGAATTCTTAAATAACTAAAATAGAAAGCGACCTCGAAATTGTTTTCAGGGAATACCTATGTATACAATTTCTTAAATTATGTTCTATTGATTGATGTTTTTAATACCTCTAAAGATACCTAAAATCTTAACTGGTGACCTATTTGATTTAGGTGCAGTCATAAAAAAGTAGTTAAATATTATTTTTAAATATTTAACAATAAATTTTGTTTTTCAGGAGTTGTTGATGTGAGTGAAGCGTCGGCTCAATTCACAACCGACACTATTGGCCGTTGTGCTTTTGGAATGGACTGCAATACATTATCGAATCCAGATTCAGAATTTCGACGCGCCGGACGAGATATTTTTATACCAACACGTAGATCAGCAATATTAAATTTCATCAGACTAGTTGATTTCGGTTGGCTTCTCGATGTATTTAGGGTGCGTGGAATGCCCGATCATATTTATCAATTCTTCGATAATGTACTTGAAACTACTATGGAACAACATAAAACTGGACAACATAGTCGTAACGATTTTATTTCACTTTTGGTGAAATTAAAAAACGAAGACCATGTAAACAACGACGGAACAAGTAAATATCTCATAGATAGGAATTTTAAAATTTGTACACAATTCAGTTTACGGTAAGTATTTTGGAACAGTGAACTGATATTTTATTCGCCGGTTGTCAGCATAGCTTATGGTTGTGTACAGCATTCGATTACAATTAATTTTAATTAAGATATATGCGTAACGGAAATCGAATATTTAAAAGTTTTCTTCCGGGAACTTCAACCAAAGTTCGTCCATTATTTTTAAAAAATTTTTAATATACAAGTATTTTAATGTGTACATTAAAACTGAAATAGTGAAATTAAATCTTTGAAACTAAGAACGAAGTGCTCAGTTCAATCGTTGATTTTTATAAATTTCTCATGTAATTTTTAGATTCTGAATGTAGCCAAGTATGTATTGGTCTTACTAGGATGTTTGAATTTTTTTTTTATATTTTTATCATGTGTACAACAATTCTATAGAAATATCGTTAAGGTATCCTCGTGAAGCATTTGGAAAATCATTTTCTGACATCACATTTTAAAAATTAGGGCAACATTTTTGGTAGAAGAATTGTTTACAGAGAGATACAAATGATACCAAATGCACACATCATAATATAGTAAAACTAATATATTTTTCGCTATATTTAGAATTTTGAAATGTTCATTGCAAAAAAAAAGTCTTGTACAAGAAACGACAAAGGAAACGACGATTACATAATTTTTTAAATACGACATAACCTTTATAATTGTTTTAAAGACCGTATTGAGTAATTTACCTACTACAAAGAATTAATATTGCACTGTTGACTATACGTGTTATGACGTTTATAGTATTCATTTTACTACTTATACTACATTGTGTATTATTCGGACATTGTTCGACAGTTGCGTAATAATACCGTTATGATTATTTTTTCATGATGACATCGATATTATAATACAGTGCTCTAATCTTCAACACTGTGTATTGCTCCATTTCCATCAATCGAATGGTACAAATATTGATATACCTATACCTGTATAGATTATCACAATGGATCTTTTGGAAGATCATATTGTTATTTTCCAAGTGGTTTTCATTATACCTGGGAAAAACCAGGACAAAACGTGAGAAAAACGAAAAATTTACGAAAATAAAACTATTATTTTTTAATGTTTTTATTTGTTCTAATGAAATTAAAAATATTCGTAAATAATCGAAATTCAATAATAGAAAACTTATATTTGCTTTTTTTAGACATGGTAAAAATTTCAAAAAATTTAAGCCATTTTTTAGCTATTTATTTTTTAGACATTTTAATTTTGCTAGTTTTGTACTTATTTATTTTTTTGGAGATATTCTATAGAAAAATTGTGAAAATTGAACTGAAATGCTAAAGAATTTAACGGAATGTTCTTTAATCATCTTACTTTGTAGTCAAAACAAAAGTTGAGTTAAACGTAGCATTTNATTTTCCAAGTGGTTTTCATAATACCTGGGAAAAACCAGGGTGAAACGTAAAAAAGTGTACCAAATCTAATTTTTCAATTTTTTATTTTTAAATATGTGTATATTGCCGATTTAGAAACAACGGTGAAGTTAGAATTAACATGACTCACTAAATTTTGAAAGTAATGCTTTTTGAAGTTATGTATGTTATGTTAAACAACTCTGTATTGTCTCTCTTAAAGTATATTTGTTGTGATCTAATGGTTTTTTATGTCTATTACCAGTCTAGAAAGTTTCGAGTTCAAACCAGTGTGCCGTAAAATATAGTTTTCATTTTTTCCCTTTTTCCTAAACAAGTAAAAAACACATTCATATTGAGTGAATAACCGAAAAAAAAACTGACTAAAAACTGGAAAATGTACAAAATGGAGATATAAGTTGAAAATTTGTCGGTCTTCTTTTTTCCAGGGGACATCTTTTCTACCAGTAAATTTGCTCTGATTTACAATAATAGCACTTTTTGTGAAATTAAATCTGACTGGCAAAGTACTTTAAGGAGGTCACCTTTCGATTTTCCGAATAGAATTCCCAGTAAATGTTAAAAACCGAAAGAAAATATGGGAAAAATGGGAAAATCGGTAATATTTTAAACAAATATTATTAAACAAAACATATAATGCCTATAACAGTGGCTGCACCCGTCTCCAATATTCTAGGACGTTATTGTTTTTTATAACTTTTAACAATTGTCTCTAATTTTGCAGAATTATTTACCGACATGATATTAGCTGCAAATTCGTTTGTATTCTTTGTTGCTGNACGATATACACAGTTATTGTTGACAAAACATCACTATCAACTGAACTGTGCTCAGAATCAATTTTTCGTTATCAATTGTTTATCGCTGCTTACAGATAAACATTAAATTACCAATAACAGTGGCTGCACCCGTCTCCAATATTCTAGGACGTTATTTTTTTTTTATAACTTTTAACAATTGTCTCTAATTTTTCAGAATTATTTACTGACGAGATATTAGCTGCAAATTCGTTTGTATTCTTTGTTGCTGGTTTCGAAACTACAGCTTCAACTATAAGTTATTGTCTTTATCAGTTAGCCATTAATCCAGAAATTCAAGTATAATTACGAGAAATAATCGAACCAAATCATGTTGAAAACGAAGGAAAACTCTCTTACGAAATGTTAAAAGAAACAAAATACTTGGATATGGTGATAAATGGTCAGTGCAACTTTATTAAATATNCATACGTAATACAATTTTGTTTAAAATATTATATTTTTATTTGTTATAAACTAACATAGAAACGTTTAGAATGCATCCACCGGTTGCTCTTATAAAACGGGTTTGTACTAAAAAGTACTCAATACCGGATAGTGACATCACTTTGAACATCGGCGAGAAGTTGTTGATACCCACATATTAATTACACTACGATCCAAAGTATTATCTGAATCCAGAAATGTTTGATCCTGAACGATTTACTGACGAGAACAAAGCTTCAAGGCCACACGGCACATTTCTTCCGTTCG